CACACAGACATCCATGCAGGTAAAACAGGGAACAGAAAATAAGAATAAACAAATTCATTAAAAAAACACAACATGGGGCTGGAGAGATGGCTCAGCGGTTAAGAGCACTGACTATTCTTCCAGAGGTTCTGAGTTCAATTCCCAGCAACCACATGGTGGCTCACAACCATCTGTGATGAGATCTGGTGCCCTCTTCTGTGTACATAATAAAAATCTTAAAAAAAAAAAAAAACCACAACAGTGAGGGAGACCCATGATGACACACAGTGTTGAGTGAGCTTGCTTTTGCTGTGTGTGTTTCGGGGGTGGAGTGGGGGGTGGGGGGTACTATGCAGCCTCTGGACTGCAGGGATCATCGAGACCCTTGCAGAGTGGTAGCTAACAGTGCCAGAGCCTGAGCCCCCCATTGTCCTCTCCTAGATGCTGGACCGACTGCCAGCCCTGTGAAGACGGAAGTGCCCTTCCTGGGGCTGATGCTGGGCATCACAGAAGCACAGACAGCGTTGTATGTACTCTTCGCCCTTCTGCTACTTGGGGTCTGTAGCTTGGCCTTTCTGTTATACAAATACTGCAAGCGCTCCAAGCAACGGGAAACACAGCCAAGCCAACACAACCTGAGTCCAGTTTCCTCCTTCTAACAGTCTCCACCTCCTCACTTGTGCAGAGATGCCCAGTTTCTTTGGACAGGTAGCCTGTGGGCACAGACGACTCCTGCCCACAGTGGACCTCCTCGTCAAGGCTTCCTGCACTGTGGGAGACGATTTCCATCTTGAAGCTTTTCACGTTCTCACTTGAAATGAAAGCATCTTCAGCACTGGGAATTCTCCTGTGGACTCTGAGACCTGCCAAGTACCCCTGTGGAAATGCAGAGACCAAACTGTATAGCCATTCTCTGCGTTCATTTCAAGGTGTGATGGTAGATTCCTAACTAAATAAGTAAACATAAAGCGCAGGTCTAGCCATGATAGCCCATGTCTGCCTATAATCCTGCACTCAGGAGGCACTCCAGTTTGAGGCCAGCCCCAACCACATCATGAATTCCTGCTTCGGAGTGAGAGGGAGCAGGGGATGGGGGCAACAGAGGTCAGGAACATAGCATGGTGGCAAAACACTTGCCTATCAGAGTCAAAGGTTCAATTCCTAGCCCCTCACCCCCAGTTTCTGGCTAATTTAAAAAGATTATTATGTGGCTAGAGAGAAGGTTCAGCAATTAAGAGCACCCACCGCTCTTCCAGAGGACGACCTGAGTTTGATTCCCAGTGCCCACGTGGCAGGTGGCACTGTTGGTAACTCCAGCCAGAGGATCCAACGCCCTCTTCTGGCCTCCCTGGAAACCAGGCATACGTGATGCACAGACACACGTGCTGGAAAAATACCCACACCCACAACAATAAAACTTAAAAATAAGTAAGCGTGACTATGTCTGCAGTTCTGCTTCTTACAGGCATCCTAACCTGCAATATATCCACAGAAACTTCCTACCCAGGGACTGGAGACGTGGCTCAGCAGTTAAGAGCTCTGACTGCTCTTCCAGAGGGTTTCAGTCTCAGCAGCCATACCGCAGCTAACAACTGTCTGTAACTCGAGTTCTAGGGATCCAGTGCTCCCTTCTGGCTTCTGTGGGCACTGTATTCATGTGGTACACAAACATGTAGGCAAAACACCCATCCATATAGATTGTCTTAAAAAACAACAACCCTATCCAAAGGTTCTAGGACTAGCTTGGCAGTCAGGAACTTTTAGTGAGCGCACATCCTTTTTCTTTTGATAGGAAAAGCTGCCAAAGGGAGCAAAGGGAGTCTGGTTTTGTGTCTTTTGAAAGAGGGCATCACTTGCTACCCTTGGCTGCCCTTGGCACTCTATGCAAAAAAAGCTAGCCTTGGATTTTGGGCTAGCTTTTAATTAGGCCCATGCTTGAGAATACAGGGATTACAAACATGCACTACAATACCCTAAATGTGGGTGCTTCCAAAACTGGGTACTGAGCCGGGCATTGGTGGCGCACGCCTTTAATCCCAGCACTCGGGAGGCAGAGGCAGGCGGATCTCTGTGAGTTCGAGGCCAGCCTGGGCTACAAAGTGAGTTCCAGGAAAGGCGCAAAGCTACACAGAGAAACCCTGTCACGAAAAACCACAAAACTGGGTACTGGGCATTTCTTGAACAGAAAGATTCATGATCAAATGTTAGCAGCTGGAGTTAGAGAGATGGCTCAGCAGTTAAGAGCACTTGCTGCTCTTGCAGAGGTTCTGGGTTCAGTTCTGTGGACCATGATGGCCTACAATTATCCCTAACTTCAGTTCCAGGGGATATGACACCATCCTCTGGCTTCTGCAAGCACCAGGCAGCAAGTAGTATGTTTATATACATTTAAGCAAAACATTCATACACATGAAGTAAAAATAAGTCTTTAAAACATAAACACTAAGAATATTAGGATAGCCAGGGGGTGGTGGCGCACACCTTTAATCCCAGTATTTGGGAGGTAGAGGCTGCCAGATCTTTGAGTTTGAAGCCAGCCTGGTCTAGAGTTCCAGGACAGCTGGGGCTATACAGAAAAATCCTGTTTCACACCCCCACCACATGCAAAGAATATTAGAATATGAAACTCAGACTTAGGTTTTGAAACGGAAAGATATCTGTGAGACCGAAGACCTAGAGGATAAAAAGAAACACACTGTCGGGGCTGGAGAGATGGCTCAGTGGTTAAGAGCACTGACTGCTCTTCCAAAGGAACTGGGTTCAATTCCCAGCACCCACATGGCAGCTCACAACTGTCTGTAACTCCAGTTCCAGGGGACCCTCAGACAGACATACATGCAGGCAAAACACCAATGCACATAAAATAAAAATAAATTTAAAAAAAAGAAACACACTATCTGACCGTGTACAAAAAATAAAGCAGGCCCTTGAGATTGCTCAGCAGTCTCAAGTCTTACGACCTGAGCTTGTTCCCAGGACGCGTTTGGGGAAGAACTGATTCCCACATATTATCTCTGACCCCCTTCCTTCCTGCCCTAACTGTAACAAAAAACGGTTTTAAGGAGGCTGGAAGACTGCTTAATACTTAAGAGTGCTTGTTGCTCTTGCAGAGGATCTGAGTTTTGTTCAGTTTCTAGCCTGTAACCTCAGGTCCATGGGTTCTCAGACTCTTCTGGCTCTGGTGTGCACATACCCATATGTACATAAAAAATAAATCTTGAAGAATAAAAAAGATTAAAGGACAAAATATTCACAGCATATGCTGGTAAAGGGTTTTCTTACGTGCACAGAGTTTTTACAAATTAGTAGGAAAAATACAGAAGTAAAACTGGAGGACAGTTTCAAAACAGGTCAGCACTGCCAGGAGCACGGAAAGACCACCTCACTAGTCATGCTGCAACCTTCAACCCCAGCCCTCGGGGGCAGAGGAAGACAGATCGCTGTGATCCAAAGCCAGCCCGGTCTAGTGAGTCTGCGCTGAGACCTGTCTCAACGCCCCCTCCCAAAGTCCACGTTCGTTCCAGCTGAACAGTGCACATAAATTCAACATTACCTCCATCTACGGTGTTGACAAGGATGAGGGATGCACAGATGGCGAGGGGTCCAGTCTCACACTGATGGGAGAGTACGTCAGTTCCTACAGCCTCAGAGAGCATCTGGCATCCTTCATAATCTAAACCGCAAATATCATTTAAGGTAACAAACCATGTCCCATGGGTCCACTTCCTCAGTCAGAATACAGCTCCCCTCAGGGTGTTTGTACACAAAAACCAAACAGGCCATTTTTGTTTTGTTTTAGAGATAGCGTCTCACTGTGTAACCTAAGTCAGCCTGGAACTCACTGTGTAGAACAGCCTGGCTTCAAACAGAGATCCTCTTGTTTTTGCCTCCAGGCTGGGATCAAAATCTTGTGTTACCACATCTGGCCTAACCAAGAAACTTTTTTTCCCTTCCATTTTTGGAGACAGGGTTACACTGTGTAGCCCTGGCTGTCCTGGAACTCAGAGATCTGCCTGCCCCTGCCTCCCAAGTGCTGGGATTAAAAACATGTGCCATCACTGTCTGCCTCAAACCAAGTAATTTTTAATACCCATGGAAGAGAACCAATGGTAATCAGTTGGGTCCTTGCATTCAGCAAACTGCTCCAGACAGGAGTAAGACTGAGGCAGCCAGCTGTGTGTGGACAGGTCAAGATCTTCGAAACTGTAAGGAAGGAGAAAGATGCAGGGTAGTACATACAATATGATCCCATTTATTTAAAAATAAAGATTACATATTTGCTTATATGCATAAAATTTTTCTGAAAATTACATTAGAAATTATTAATAGAGGTTACCTCTGGGGAATGGTAGTGGGGTCCAATGCCAGGAGAGAGACACCATTTTCTCTATTTTGGAGCTTTTGAACCATGTGGACTTTTTAAAGAGATAAAGCTAAAGAGGAACCCTCTACCAAAACATGAATTATGTACATTTTAAGATTTGTATTTAATCTTCTTCAAGACAAACTGACTTGAGGTACTTAATGTTTTTCCAGGATTCATACCCACTTGACAAGTATTTTTTTTAAAAAAATCATATATTGCCTCGCTATTGTGGAGACAGGATCTTATTCAGCCTAGGTTGGACTTGAACCTGTACCTGAGGATAAACTTGGTACTCCTGCCTCCTCCTCCTCCCAAGTGCTCGGACTACAGCATGAGACACCACCCTAGCTGGCTGCATTTTAGAAGACTGGATTTTAAATGAGTCAGTCACTAGAAATTTTTGAAAACTCACATTTTTGTTGTTGTTTTTGAGACAAGGCTTTTATCTTGTAGCCTTGGCTGGCCTGAACTTGCTATGTAGACCAGGCTGGCCCTTAAACTCAGACTGCCTTTGAGCACTAAGTGCTGGGATTTTAAGTGTGAGCAAAACTCTCTTTAAATAATGTAAATATGATCAATGCAGAAGACTGGGAAAATTCAAGAGTACAAAGAACTAAGACATACAGCCATCCATTAACAATGTTTTCTTCTTTCTTTACATACTCGTTAACTCACACAAAACTTACTCACAAAGTGGGACTCATCCTATCCTACGCTAGGTCTCCTACCTTTCTTGTTTTTCACTAACACACAGCAGGCATTCAGTAATATGGCAAGTGCTGGATTAGTATGTACCGTTTCTCAACAGAAATTACATCCACAGAGAGCATTTAGTTGTTTCCAGTTTTTAAGTTAAACTAGTAATTAGGTCTAGACATAGCTAAACTTTTGCAATGATGATCACTACTTAGAAAAAGTTACTGTGTCAAAGCATGAGACATTTGAAGTTTCTGGGCATGTTTTCAGAAGGGTTCTGTTGTCCCCAGCAGCTCAGCAGCTCCTGCTTCCGGCCAGCACACCGTCCCACAAGCCTGCTATCCCACAGGGTTGGACAAAGTCCCTCCTCCTCTCACAGATGCGGCGGTCTTCTCTGACATGCGGTCGTCAGGTCTCACCCATCACGACTTTTAGAGGAAGAAGCAGGAAGTTAGAGAATGTCTTCCGAACTCAGGAAGAACCGCAGTGAAGGAAGGTGTGTCTGCTCTTCCCTAGTCCTACCCTTGGGTCCTGAAGTGTGATTGCTGAATGGGAAACTTCAGCACAAACGTGAGTGTGCACACGAGGCTGCAGACTATCCATCCTCATCTGTTTGGCATCGATGAGAACAGATCATAAAACAACAAATGCCTCAGTGACCTAGGACACGTGGGACCTGGTGTCCGGAAGATCCAGAATCCCTGAACTCTCTATTTTAAAGGAAACATAGCCAGTTTTTTGCTGACATCTTCAGGGCAGCGCTGGGAGAGAAAAAGTCAGACAAAAGTGACCTTGATACAGCCCTGGACAACAGAAAGATGCTTACAGCAAAAATAAAATTATTCTCATTTTTGGAAAAAAATTTTTATTCAAGGTTTAAGTAAGATCAAAACTACAAGATTTTGTTTGCAGCTGATGAGTGCAAAGAGAAATGCTAACCATCATTATCGCCTGATAGCTAGTGGAAGAGCTCTAGGGTCAGATACCCAGTGACACACCAATTACTTTGTGTGGCTTAGAAGTGCAGCAAAAAGTATTCTAAATGAAACACTGGGCTGGAAAGTTTGAGCAGGAACTGGTAGGTGGCTGGGCGAGCAGCTGGTTACCCTATACAAGGACCTAGCATCCAGCTAGTTCCTATTTTGACTTTTTCAGGTTAAACAACTTGAACTCATAACCTCTAAGCAGAAATAAAGAGTGTACCCATGGTCTGAAAACATAAGCAGCCCCACTGGTCCAGCAGAAGCTGGAGTGGCCTCCTGGGGAAGCAGTGAAGACTGTCCCCCTGTGCGCGGCGATCTACATCTGCTGCGTGGAGTTCCCGTTCCAAGTGTTGTTCTCATCTTCGCCATCGTCTGGCGTCCTCAGTCTGTATATCTTCCCTTCCTTTTTAAAGTCCTCCCCACGTTTCTCCAGCACTCTTTTTCGGACTGGTTCCCTGGTATGGCAGAGGAGGAAAGAGGAGGTGACACAACCAGACAACACGAAGCTTTTTCTTCACACTTCTGCTGATAGAGGACCGGGACCGGCAACCGTATTTTGTTTTTAGCTCAACAATGAAGTCTATGGGCAATATTTGTATCTCTTCCTGCAATAATTGATTTTATTAGCCTTTACTAATTTAATCTCCTCAGTTCTGTAAGTCAACCAGTCAAATCATGTCCATTTTCCTGATGACTTACTAAACCTCAGAACATGATCATTTGCTAGCTAGATTTCAAAACCTCATACAAGCGGACACACATACTAAGATATAACTTACAGACCACCCTAGAGGCTATACAAAGCTCCGGCTGTACCTTAACTGCTAGAAATGGCCAGTCATTTGCAATCCTTTCAAAACCTTTATAGTAACTTACAACCAAGAACAAATAAGACTTCCTATCTGGAAACAGGAAGGAAAGAGTCTAAATTAAAACAATTATTTGTTTGTTTTTGTAGACAGGATCTCTCTGTAGCCTCAGCTGTCCTGGAATTCTCTCTGTAGACCAGGGTGGACTTGAACTCACAGAGATCTGACTGCCTCTTCCTCCCAAGTGCTGGGATTAAAGGCATGCAATGCTGCCACTACCACCCAGCAAGTTTAAAGAATTTTATTAACAACAGAAAATGAAAAAATAGTGGAACACGAAGCCTTACCCTTTCACAGACACATTCACTCTCTCCTCTGCCTCAAATTCAAGTCCCTTTCCCTCACTTGAGAAAAGTCTGAATGGTTCCCTTGGCATCCTATTCCATACTATAGTAATCACAGAATTAAACATTTCCACCTACTCTTCAGCAAGACTAAGGATGTTATTGATCTTGTGGCCTAACACTCAAGATATAGGCCATATCAGTTAATCCCAGTATTCACACACATCACCAATCACACAATCAGTGAAACACTGGACTAGGTGTCTCCAGACAGCAGAGTAGTGGCTTCCAGGGCTGATACAATGTCTACCATAGGCCCAAGAGAAGTGGGAGTGTAGTGAGTAACTGTACCCTATACTTGGGAAATGGAGGCAAGAGGATCAGGAGTTCAAGGTCACAGACAGTGAAGAGGCCAGCCTGAACTTCTTAAAACACCTCACCCCTGCAAGACCAGCGCTAACAGAGCGTGTTTAATGAGAATAAGCACTGTCGGATGGTGGCCCCCTCCTCTTCTGGACAACACTTCCTGTTAACCCATTTAGATCACGCGTCAGAGTACAGGCTACAGCTACCAGTGCTGTCTGTACAACCAGATCTCCGCTCTGCAATCAATTAAGGCCAAAGTAAGGTTAAGTCAGTCTCAGGGCATCATTTTTCTTCTTCTTGTTTTTCATTTCCCGTTTTGCTCAGGGTTTCACTGTGTAGCCTAGAAAGGACTCAGATTCATAATCCCCACCCTCCACCTGCCTGCCCACCAGGTTCTCAAGTGCCAGAGATTACTATGGACCCTGACAAGTCTGGCCATATTCAAGGGAGTATTTAGTTTTTCAGTGTGATTTTCTTCTGAGTGACGCAGACAAGGAAATCAGCCAGTAGATTAAAGAAAGCTCAGACTAAATTCCTGTAAAGAAATGATGCAAGACTAAGCAACTAGTGGCATTGTTTTATGCAAAACATGGCTAGCAAGGCGGCCAGGTGTGGTGGCACAGACCTTTAATCCTAGCACTTGGGAAACAGAGAAGGGAGGAAGACACCAGGCTGTGAGTGTGATGTCAACCTGACCTACATAACAAGTTCCAGGCCAGCCAGGGCAACAGAGAGAGACCTATCTTAAAAACAGATGGACAACAACAAAACATGGCTACATGGCTAGCCACAAAGAGAGTACAGACTGGGAAGAAACACTGTATTAGTAATGACGGAATAGACAGAGCTCACTGACTGGGGAAAAAAGAGGCAAAGCAGATTTTTTAGCAACTTTTTTCTAGCAAGGAGCAAGAGGCCTACTGGACATGACCTGGGTATTTGACCAACAGAGAAGACAAGAACACATACCTTTTCTCTGACTTGGTGGATGACGCAGGGTTGGAAGGCTCTGTGGGTGTGGCTCTTGCTGACCTCTGTGCAGGAGGATTACTAAATAAAAAATTGCTAATCAGTCTCCATATGGCCAGGAATGGATAAAGCACCGTCCCCAGTAACGTCCAAAGGTCTCTACTGGAAGAGTGGACAATGGATGTGGCTGGCCGTCCTGCCTAGAAAGGAAAAAATTAAAGGTAAACAAGCAAGTAAGGACTACATCAGTACAACTGAATCACACTTAGATGCTTCTTTTATCTGGAAATGAGACTCTACTGACTTTGTCTCAATGCAAGGGAGTAAAAATGATCATCTTTTACTACTTTCCATGTGCCCACGAACTTGTGGGGACTCCCAGAGCTGTCTGTCTGTCTGTCTTTGTTTCTTTCTATTTTTCGAGATGGGTCTGGAACTCACTCTGTAGACCAGACTGGCCTTGAACTCATAAAGATCTGCCTGCCTCTGCCTCTACCACCCAACTACTGGGATTAAAGGCATGCACCATCACACCTGGCTAATTTTACTTTTTAAAAAGCAATTAATTTTATGTGTATATGTGTGCCTGAATGTACATATGTGCATCATGTGTGTACATGAGCCCACAAAGGTAAAAAAAAAGGCATGGGATCCCCTGCAACTGGAGTTACAGACAGTTGGGAGCCACCATGTGGATGCTAGAAACTGAACCCAGGCCCTCTGCAAGTACAGTCAGTGCTCTTAACTGCTGAGCCAGCTCTCCAGCCCTTATTTATGTCCCGAGACAAGCTCTCAGAGTGTAACTTACTATGTGAACCAGGCTGGCCTTCAACTCACAGAGAGATCCACCTGTTTCTAACTCCCATGTGTTAGAATTAAGGAGGTGTGCCACACACTGGGCTGAATCAACTCAAAAAAAAAAAGGAAAGATTTAGTCTTCTTTTATGTGGATTAATGTTTTGCCTATATATGTGTACTACGTGTGTCTGGTGGCCAGGGTGACCAGGAGAGGACGTCAGAGCCTTTGGACCTGGACAGCTGTGAGCTGCTGTGTGTGTGCAGGGAACTGAACTTGTGTCCTCCAGGAGAGCAGCACCTTCTCTAATTGCTGAGCCATCTCTCTAGCCCTGAACCAACTGTTTTTAAGAAAAGTCAACTTTGGCAAGAAAATTAACAACTTTGATAATAAAAGTCTCACTACCTAGAAGAGAAAGGCTTAAAAAAAAAAAAAAACAAAGATTAAGATTTCAAATCCAGTGAACACCATGAAACCATTCTGCTCGCAGGGCTGCTCCAAGGGTGAGGCCCCTCTAGTTTAGAGCAGGAAAACTGTACTGACCAGGACAAAGACTCGGCTAGCACTTCAGGTCGGACCCTGGCAACATCTTAGCTTTCTGAGCCTCTTTTCTCCATGAGGGATCAAAATGCTACACTCATTGGGTGTGATGGCACACCCCTTTAGTCCTGGCACTCAGAGGCAAAGGCAGGAAGACCTCTTTGAGTTCAAGGCCAGTCTAGTCTACACAGTGAGCTCTCAGACACAATAAGACCCTGTTTCAAAACAAAAAACAAAAAAAAAAGCAAGCTATACTTGAAGAATTCAATGTTTTTTTTTTTTATGTTATACACATATTTTTAATATGGTAGACAGTAGAATCATAGGCTAACAGTCCACAGAGAAAACAATTCAATATTTGTTTCCCTCTGTTCACTTTTTTTTTTTTTTTGCGTACTCAACAGTTGAAAATTCAAAGGCTCACAAAACATTAGCACCACAGATTTATGAGACAGAATAAATGGCACTGTAAACGGATCCAATTCGGCTACTTTGTGTTTTCACTACCCACGGCCTTCTCTCCTGTCAACTGTAGAGTGACCAAGCCCAGGGCTGGGGCTTACCGGCAGCAGCACCACGGAGGCACTGGGGGCCAGCTCCAGGTCCAGCAGCTTCCTCTTATAGTCTTCTTTGGTGAACTCCCTCCTGGGAAACATGGTTGCTAGAGAAAAGTTACCATAGGTGTTGCCAACAGTCTGGAACAGAGAAGTGAACGTGAAACCTTAGAAAAGGTGCCTTTAAAAAGTAAGCTACTAACACTATGCAGCATTAGGGAGTCTAAAATGACTGCTAAAATCGCCTTAATTTATAAAGTACAATTAGACATAAATTCAAAAATCACTTAGCAAAAAAATTGTTTTAAAAAGTAGTTGAGGGGTTGGGTTTTTAGCTCGGTGGTGGAGAGCTTGCCTAGCAAGCGCAAGGCCCTGGGTTTGGTCCTCAGCTCCGGAGCAGGGGGAAAAGTAGTTGAGACATACCAAATCCAAATGGTTTAAAAGTTTTTAACATCTAAAATATGACCACTGTCTCGCTGCGGGTAAATGGAGGCTGTGTGGGTAAAGAGCTCTCCTCTGTGGACAGCTAGATGGTTTACTATTCAAAGTTCCGGCTGCCGGGCCTGACAAACGAGTCAGGTCCCCAGGGGGAGAACTGACTTCTCCAGCTGTCCTCTGACCCCCACATGTGCTGTGGTGTGCACATGCCTCCCCCCCCACCCCCACAGTACTCAAAACACGCCACAAAGTGGCAGCTGTGCCTTTAAGCCTAGCAGCAGCTGAGTCTTCACTAGCATTGGGCTTTTCTGGGACACAATAGTCAGAAATAAAAATAAAATAGGAAAAAACGGTATCTGTAGAATATGCCGAAATGGGTTTGCCTATGTATTAAGGCGAAAATGGCATTGTGGGTTTTTTTTTAATGTATTTGGAGACATGATCTCAGTGTGTATGCCAAGCCATTGCAAATTTTTGATAAGAAATATGATAACAATCCAAGTGTATGTTGGTGAGTCATGAGCTTAGTTTTCCAAATGCACACCATAGCATTTCAGTCATTAAAATTACATTTTAATAATAGGTCAATTCTTCTTATGAATATAATATGTAGTCAAGTACACATCCATTGGGTTCATGTACTTTTTTGTTGTTGTTGTTTTGGTTTTTTTTCAAGACAGAGTTTTTCTGTGTAGTTTTGGAGCCTGTCCTGGGTCTCGCTGTCCTGGGCTGTCCTGGCCAGACTCTAATCAACCATCAGAAAACAAGAGAAACCACCTCCTTTCCAGGACAGACAGGTCCTCCAATAATTCCTCTTGTTAATTAAGTGCAGTAATAGAATTTTCCTGAGCCATTTTTCTGCTTGGGAACTTGTCCTGAAAGATTTTAATAACCCACACATCTGTCGTTATAAACTCACCTGTGCGGCAAACTGCCTTGCTTCTTCTAACGGAGCATCGGAAGGAAACTGATTTGTAAAGGAAGAACCATCGGGCAACCGGAACTGAATTCTTGCAACAGTGCTAGGAAAAAGTCAAGCTGAAGTCAGCACCTTCAACTGCAGATTCTCAAGCAGCGTCGTTGACCAGCAGACAAAGGGCTGTGAGACAGGTCAGGACACCGGGAAGGAGAGACTGACTCCCCTCAGCGGTCACCTGACCTCCATGCATGCACATGGTGTCCTGCTCCCACCCTCCCTCCCTCCTTCTTTCTCCTTCAATTCAGCTGAGAGTAGACATGTCCTTTTTGAGGCAGGCATGATGGCTCTTGCCATGCTAAAGCCTGTCAACCTGTAATCCTATCACTTGAGAGGCTAAAACAGGAGGATCCAAAGTTAGAGGCAAGCCTGGGCTACATACCCAAGGAAACCATGTCTCAAAAACAACACAAGGGCCTGGAGAGATGATGTAAGCTCAATCCCTAAGCGCTTACCTCCATGGAGGAAGTGGAGAACTAATTCCTGAAAGCTGTTGTTTTACATTCATATGGACACCATGGTACACACACAACCCCCCTTCCAGGTCCCAAACAAATGTTGAAGAAAGTTTTTTTAAACCACAAAAACAAAACAATAAACAGAACCATGTAGCTATCACACTAACTAGACTATTTCATCACTTCCCAAAGTAACCCTGAGCCTATTAATAATCACTCCCATTTATCTCCCAGGCCCTAGCAGCCATTAACTGATTTGCCTAGTTGGAACCTCTCATCTAAAAGAATCATATTATATGTGATCTTTCATAGAGCACTGACTTTTGAAAACATAATGCTGTATCAGTTCTGGATTCTTTTATTGCTGAAATCTCATCTTAAACTGACAAAATCTATGATCACATTTTGGCCTGTTTGAATAACATGAGCATTTACATACAGGTTTTTGTGTGGACATACTTTTAGTCCTTGCATTGGCTGGCTTTATGTCAACTTGATACCAGCTACAGTCATCAAAGAGGAGGGAGCCTCAATTGAGAAAAATGTCTCCATAAGATCTGGCTGTAACTTGTGTAGCTTGGTCTGTCTGTAGGCCCCTAGCAGCGGGACCAGGATCTGTCCCTGGCACGAGCTGGCTTTTTGGAACCTATTCCTTATGGTGGGATGCCTCGCTCAGCCTGGATGCAGCGGGGAGGAGCTTGGTCCTGTTCAATTGATACGTCATTCGTTGTTGACTACTATGGGCGGCCGTACCCTTTCTGAGGAGTGGATTGGGGGGGACGGGCAGAAAGGTGGTAGGGGAGGGAATGGGAGAAGAAGGGGACACTGGTTGGCATGTAAAATAAATTTAAAAAAATTAATAATAATAATAATAATAATAAAAGATCTGGCTGTAAGGCATTTTCTTTCTTTTTTTTTTTAAGATTTATTTATTTATTATGTATACAGCGTTTGCCTGCATGTATACCTGCAGGCCAGAAGAGGGCACCAGATCTCATTACAGATG